TATAAAGATATATATATATATATAAAGAGCAGAACCATATATATATATATGTATATATTATATATATATATATATATGTATATATTTTGGTAATTTCAATCACCAGTTCGATTTTATAAAGCGCGTGACTTAGCCTTATTGCATCTCAGTTAGATGGGAAATCCTGGATTGTAAAAAAATAAATAAAGGAGACATTGTTTTGGTTTGGGATTTCAAACGATATTGTCATAAAGATTTTTAAATGGACAAAAAAATGAATTTGTGGCAAAACCTTATCAATGCGAAGAGCTTCAGCTACTGGTCTGTATATTTTTTTTTGTGTGTTATACATCCTGTTCCTATTTGTAAAGGGAATGGAATGCATGTATCAAGGAAAGGAACAAAGGGCTACAGTAAAGCAGATCTGCGCACCGCAGACGATAAGCCAACCAAAGGCCTGACGCCAACCATTTTTGAAAGATTTCATAGCATGATAACGAAAACATTTGCATAAAAATGCTGCCTTACGCAATAACATACGAAAGTCGGAGCCAGTTGAGGGCTCGCTGATCGACTAATGGGGAAAAAGCAGGAAGTTAGACATCAGTCGGGGACTAAATGAGACTCGAGCAAGAAAGCGGGCAATCACCCTTTCCCGTGATAAGGACCAAACCAATCCGAAAATGATTGCTGAATTTTAATAGGCAGATTTTGTACACTTTTACTGCTTTCACTTTCACTATGGCCAAGATAATTTCAGCCGTCCGCTGAATCAACAAGAATTCTTTAAGAATCCGAGTTCACTCTTTGCTCTTTCAGTGTTCCTTTAAGGAAATGAAGCACACTTTGTTTTGAAGTTCCACAGCGAAATATCAGCACTTCAAAATTCGAAAACTTTCACTGTGATTCACTGTGACTAAAAAGCACCTGCAGAATTAAAAACATTCGACTTCGACGGTGAGAGGACTAATCCCTCTGCGGATCCTTCATTCGTAGTACAGGGAGTCAAACCCGCCATTCAGTCTGCCTACAAGCAATCCATGAAATTAGAAGCCATCGACAGCCTTTGACAGGAGGTGGTTGCTACTGACATTTGCTACCAATCGGGCTACTTTCCGAGTGCTTCTGCTTCCATCGAGAGCGAATACAGTGTGATTTTTTGTTGTTTTGAAAGTTAAACATTCAAACATTCGTCTTAATTTTGAATCAAACATTCTTCTTGAAAAGTGATTGAAATGTGTATTTGTATCTTGCTTAACTAAACAGCGCAACAACCGCAGGCAAAACACAGAAAGAAAAATGATGCTTACAGTTAGTGTGATCGGGAATCAAAAGCAATGTTTATTTACAGAATGCGCAAAAAACGCACCCGTGTGAAACAATTTTTTTAGATTTCATAGAAACCGATTTCAGCTGACCGCTGAAGTTTATCTCTGATATGTACGCATAAATCAAAAACGGAATACTGAAGTAAGCTGAGGGGAAGCAGCTAACTCAGGTGGAGGAGTCGCTCTCTAGGATAGTAAAAGCTCTGAACTGTCACTATCGGGTAAAGTACAAAACTGAGGAGAGGCGGTGGCTCGAGGAGTGCTATTTGTACAAGCCTCTCAGCATGCGCCCGTACGACGAGAAAAAAAAGCTGTACAAAAACATTACTACTGCTCTTCAGATATTTCGGGTATCTAAACAACCAAAAGCACTTCAACAAATTTGTTAGTTCTTTTTGCTTTGTAAGCCCGCTACTCAGTAATCAAATAAGCTCGCAGCAACGAGATAAGGCAAGCTCAAACCAAACGTACACCTAGCAACATAAGCCCATACCAGAACAACAGTCTCCACCTTAGCAACCTCATCATACTCGTCTAGGTCACTAGCCTGATGACGAATTTCCCGGCAAACAACCATTCCTAACGTGAATGATTCAACTTCTTGATTCAACAGATGAATGCTTTTGCGGACCACTTTTCAAAAAAGTATGTCTCCGGACGAAGCCAAAGGCAGCATGAGGACCTCTTCTACTTTACGAGCCAAGCATTTGCTTCCTCGCCCAGTGCACTCCACAAAAGCCTAATTAATCGTGTCTCCGCTTCCTCACATGGGTTCTCCACGTTATGAAAGAAGAGTACGCAGTCAAGTGTTTGTTTCAGTCATCGTTGCTCTTTTATGTTTTAGTATAACGCATCATCGGTAAAAAAAAACCTGCTGTTCACTGAGCGATCTGCGCCTCGTCCTTCTCCGGATCTTCCATTCGAATTTGCATCCCATAATTTGCTCCTTTCCTTATCTCCTCCTCCCACTTAAGATAAGTAGTAACCTCGCAAAATTCTGCCGGTAATTCAGAAAATTTTTGAAAAAGACAAAGAAGCTATGCCGAAAACTCGACATCTGTTCTCGATGCATTCATTTCCAAATTAATTTGGAAACATACCAACACTACAGACAACGGAGTCTGCATTTTGCGAATTGCTAAAAAGATATCAGCTCACTATGAACCTTCACCAAAAGTTGAAAGTAATCTTCAAAACACATGCGTTTCTTCAAGGGTCTGCAACACTCCAGCCAATAAATTTAGTGAAAAAGTGTTTATTGGAAAGGAAAAGAACCAATATTCCCATAAATTAAGGTATTTCAGACCTTATCTGTGAAACATAACAAAACAATGAATGGAAGTAGTGACAACAGTGCTATTGCGAAGATACATATGGAATGAGTAATCCAACTAGTCGCTTTAACATCATCACTTCGCAACCAGAATGCCTGTTTTCACAGCGTCTAAGTCGGCCCCACAACGCGCCTTTCGCTAACTCTTATGCAAACCCGAGCACCAGAAAGGGTACTTCTAATTACACATATGCCTGGCAACTGCTACGGGAACGCTATCCAGACAAATGAAGCGCTTTTTACACTGCAAAAGGCGAAATCCCAGAACATTTTCCCCCTCATTAAGCCTTACCACATGTACATGTACAGCGAATTATACTATTCTAACAAATTCAAGAATACTTCAGTTACTTAAATCTCCAACAGCCGTAGTCTTGGTGCAGTTTTTTTCAACACTGACGAATCAAGCCCAGATGCCCGTTTTGAAATGTGGGAAGATTCTGAATTCAAAATGAGATATTCCTCATTTACTTTTTTTTTTCTCACATACAATAACCCAAAACTGAGCCGATTATTCCCCGCAAAATTTGACATTATTAGATCGACAAACAATATGTCACAGATTTGAAAGTTTGAAAGAAACTGGAACACAGATTGCTTAACGAGAACTCTGGAAAGTGCTCACTTTCAAGCCCACCGCATCACGTCCCACTTCAGCCACTTCGCATACGCCACAAAGTTCACCGGTAAAATCTGGTGCGTAGGAGGCGCCACAGAATGGACATTTCACCTGAAAATATGCCCAATTTTTCAGATTATACAACATCAGGCTGAAAATTAGTGCATCGTCCAATACTAATAACACTAATATTTTAATTTTATTTTGACCGACCGCTTTTTAGCTGCTTCTGACTCGAATAAATCCTCATAGTTGTGAGCTATGTGAGATAGTCACAAATTTGAAACAAACGAATAAACCAAAAGATTACTTCTGGTTGTGCCGGAATTAAACTGGCAAGGCAAACGCTCACACTGGAAGACAATGAGGTTAGTCCTTAAGACCTCATGAAAATGAAATTTTAGAACACGTAGACGGTTACAAAATATGTGGATACCTTCAAAATCGAGGAAGTATTTGAAAACTGTGGGAATGTCCAAAAACCAAGCAGAAACAAGCTCAAACATGAGGCAACAACAAGGCCACTAGTAAAACACTTTTTACGAAACTAAAGGTAAACAAATCAAATAATGAGTAGTTTGAAAGTACCTGAGGTTTTCCGCGATACAACGGTTTGAATGTTCTCGAACAAATCACAAATGGATTGTGTTCATCGTATTGTAGCTGAAAAGCATTTAATTACATGTGAAAACTTCAGAAAACAGCAATTCGCGCACCGTGCACGAAAACGGAGCTTCCAAGCGTATTAGCGATTAATTTTCGTGGATGAACAGCACAAGATGACTTTTCAAGTGAATCGGTAATTACAATCAACAATATTAAATTAGATTTTTGTACATCTGAATTTAGACGATTAGCTGCTACGTGATAGGAAATAGTCAATTTTGAAAGCTAATCTTACTAGGAACACAAACTAAAAAACTTTGTATCTTTACGGCTAAAAACACTTGAAAAATGTGTCAGTTAACATTCCGATATTCTCAAAAGTGAATCGATCTTCCCTAAATATCCTCGGCAAGAATTCTGATAAGACTAACATAGTGAGGTATCTGAGCCCGTGGGTTCAAAGCTACGATGTAAAAAGCAGAATCACAAAGCATATAAAAGCAGCAAACCACAACGTGAGCTACTCCTTCACTGTCAAATAATGGTTCAGAAAAGAAAGTTCAACTCGCGAATTTTTAAAATTAGCTGAAATATACCTCGTGGGCATCAGTTGGATCTTTCTCCGTGACCGTCAATACTTTCCTGATCTGTGCAGCAATCTCCGGTTTCGGCCCTGAAATAGTGCAATTTAACACATCAGAAGTGTTAAAGTTGAATATTAAATATTAAGGCTGAACGGGCTTCACTTGGTTCCAAGAAAAACACACACCTAATTCGAGTAGACGCTTGCAGAATGATGCGCAGGTTTTCATTTGCTTCAGTTTGAAAAACAAATTCACCGCCGTTCTCAGTGTTAAAATTTGATGGATCTGAAAAATCCGAATTTTTAGTTATTAAAAAACTTATGCACGAAATTTTGCCAGGCTCACGCAACTGGGTATTTTCGAGGCAATAACTATAATGAAAGAAACGACAGCAATAATGAAAAGAGTGACAATAACAGTGATTTCGTAGCGATGATAAAATCCCAATAACATTTGTAACAATATTAAAATGTCAATGCCGGAATATTTACTGAAACTTATGGACGCTGTTTTTTATTTCTAAGTGTAAAAAAGTGTATCAGTTGTTGCGTATCAACAAGTAGCACTGCAATAAGGTACTGTGGCATGAGGGGCATGTAAAAAAGATAAAAAATTAAAGCAAGAAGTTGCAATAACGCTCGGCGTTCAATTTATACTAGCAACAATTTTCACAGTTCAGACTGTCAAACCCCGTTTCGTATTCACCCCGTATGAGAAACGTAGATAATCCGAACTACCCAAACAAGCAAAGATCAACGGCCAACTTCCCGTGCTACGGAATTCGTTTCTGCACATCATACATAGTATCGTATTATAACAGGGGCCTAGTGCCTACAGAAAAAGTATGCCAGAAAGCACGGAACTGCTCCTCCTTCATTATGCTCGGCACGGAGTTCTCCCTCTAAAAAAGGACTTAGAATATACCGGTTGGAGTTGACAATGCGTGAAATATGCTGCCATTTCGGCATTTCGTTTTGCATTTTCGGCTATTTTCGGCAACTCCTTCCGTGCACATTCCATCAGCAAGCCAACCAAGTATTCGCGACAGATGTCAATCAGTTGTTGTGCCTCTGCAGTCTGTAAACTAATTTAATTGGCTACAGAACGTGAAAATAAAGGGGCTCAAAAAAACTTATGAAACTTCTGAACTATGTGTTTTTCTCTATTAGAACAAAAGATAACGCTAGCATTTCCAGTAACCATTTTTCCATAGTGCAGAAAACCAACTGTTCTTCGTGAAATTACTACAAACCGATAGACATACTCACTGTCTTTAAAACAGGCTGATAAAACAAGCAACAGTAATTAAAATGTAAAATTAACTAAGAGCTGATTTATCAAAAGCAAAAAAAGAACAGTTTAAATTAAATCTTATCCTAATATCACTACAAACTTTCATCCGGTAAAGTTTAAGATTGTCATCTAGTTGTAGTTATGATTCTCCATAAATGTTAAAAACATCGTGAAACGACTGAGCCCTGCCAAATGCCTTCGCCCGGCAAACAGCTAAAATGGCAAGCTCTACAGCACTTGGAAGGGAAATCATCACCGCACGGGTCAAAACAACTGGGAAATTGCCAATCGAGCAGATGAAAAATCAGGCTGTGGATACAGCTGACCGAAATATTTTAGCAAAAAAAGAAAGTCCACCTCCTGCTTTGAATCCACAACCAGTAGTGGTACAGAGAGCAGCAGCAGGCGTAGCTTCTCAACAGCCTCAGTGAATTTACCACTAGTAGTGAGATGGTAACAAGTCTGCAGTCGTGCAGCGAGATCGCCAAGATGAAGTCCAACAGCTGGGAGGCCACTTCGGCCAGCGCCATCTTGCCAATTACGCAATGGATAAGCGAAATTCGGACCAGCGCCTGGTAAGCCTTCGTAAGCTGTACGCGATCTACAAAGAGAATCGTAGCAGAAAATGCTGATATTTGACGTAGGCTACTTGTTTCTAGCAAGGAAACAGCCATCTTTCGAGGCAACTTTAACAGCCACAGTCTACGATGCTTTAGTTAACTTTTATATCTTTCGTACCAAATTTCGTGTCTTTTTATTTGATCTCATGCAGTCATTTTCCAGTACCACAAATTTTCTCCTCCTCTCCTTCTCTGAGCTTGAAATTTAACCTTAGCTTTTCTACGGAAAAAGTACAAGTTTTCCGCTTGATTCTTTCAAATTAATTTATAGCTGGCCTAGGGTGTGGTAAGCAGCTAACTGTCTGATGAGAGACGGGGAAAAAACAATATTTCCAAAATTCGCTAACTACTTGCACGGTCATCCTGAAACTTGAAATGCTTTTCAGCATTCTCAACTAATACAGTATTACTTTGAAAAAAATTAGACCTGGACGTGAACTTACAAATTCACTTTTTAACTGTTTTTTGTTTCCTGGTAGTTCCCTATCTTTAATACATTCTGCTACGCGGGCTTCCACTTTTTCGCAACAATCGCACATAGAAATTTTCATGAGCCCACTACTTTGCTTCACTAAATTCTATTATCTGATGCTTCATCGTGATGAATTTTCTTGTCAGAGGCACTGCCAGCAAATTTCTCGCTGTTGAAGTGACTGAACTTGGATTGCCTAATAGTGAATCCATCGGCAACTGTAACATCCTTCCAGAAAAAAAGCGGGCTTTTCTGTATTCATAAATTATCAAATTTGTTTAGAGAAAGAATTAAAGTTAAAAGTTATGGCACCTGGCACATGCTGTAAGGAAAAGCTGCTTGAACGGCTCTATACGAATAATTCCTAACTGTTCACGTAACAAGCGTGCAGCACTATCAAACGCACCAGCAGCAACGTGATCCGCCACCAATCTAAAACTGACAAATTATTAGATGATATTAAAATGGCCAGAACCATCACTTTCGCTCATACAAATGAGAAATAAATGGCCAGCACACCGACTGCCGGTGCGAAGATGCGTTTTCTGCATAGTCCCCAGCAAGTTTTTGTAGCTGACGGCACCAGTTTTTCCTACCGGTGCTTCTAGCTAAACGACTTAAAACTGGCCGCCAGAGCTGTCAGGAAACACCCCATTAAATTTAAGCTTTCTAGCTTTCCAGGTACCCGAGTTAGCGAATTAGCCGTAAAAAAATTTAAAGAGCCCATACATGGGTACCACGCATATCGGTGTCTGGATTTAGACGGGGAACATTTCTTCAAAAATACAGTCTTCTAGCTTCTCAGGTTCCCGAGCTAGCAACTTATCTAAAAAAACTTTCACGGGCCCGCACGTGGGAACCATGCAAATCCGAGGGGTGGTTTTGAGTTCATTGACATCAACATGGATTGGGAACATGTCATTGAAAGTTTTCTGGCTTTTCTGATCCCCGAATTAGCAGCCTCGTTGCCAAAAACTTTGGCGGGCTTGTAAGTGGGTACCACACAGGGTAAGAGCACCCATTCTGGGGACCGGTGGCCGTAACGTGCATGTAGATTAAGTTCCCAAAGTTTCAGCCCTGTCGCTTTTACAGGTGTTGGGATGAAAAATCGGTACAAACGCACACACAGACAACCCCTCGTTAATATGCGTTTTTTGCACTGCATAGCTACAAAAAAAAATTCATAAAAAAGTACCAATTATCAAGTATCAGAAACTTTTTCCTTTACCTTGAATTATTTGGCCAATAGAATGAGGGCGGCTGACCACGAGATGGCGGTGCATAGAAGCCGTCTTCAACATCGGCACCGGCCTTTACATCAATATCTGGTGGTAGTGCCAAATCATCTTCGACCTGTAGCACGCATTTTTTTGATTCTTCTATGCCTTACTTTCCGAATTTTATTGAAATTCCTTTCCCAATTCCAGGATCGTCAGTGATGTACCGCACTGTGGTCTTAACGCTCAGTGAGAGGCAGAAATGCACAAAACACACAAAAAACTAGAAACGGCTGAAGCTCTGCCGAACACTTCTGTCGGAAAAAACGAAGAGCAAATAACGAATGTTAGGATTGCTTGCAGGCTAACCATCAGGCGATGCATCATGGTAAAAAGAGCTGGAATATGGAAGTGTTTTCATATTTTACCATTTTCGCTATTTTTTATTTTTCAAAAGGCAAAATTCAACTTTTTAACGGATTTGACTAAACTGAAGCTTTAAAAATATAGATAATCAGGTAAAAACATAAACAAATATTGCTGCATAATCTCCGTGTTTGGAAAATTAGCTTTAAAAAAACAAACAAACACACATCCCAACCACCGCCTTCTTGTTCAACCCCTTCACTGGCAACACTATGCATTTCCTCTTCATCAATATCTGGATTGCCCTCATCGTCCAGCATCACCAATTCACCAGCACCCCACGCATCGCCAGCCTATAAAACGGACCATCTGCCGCTGGTTATTTATTAAATTTAAAAATTTTTCAACAGTGTCACGCGTTAACAATGCGACTGATGAGAATACAACCAATAATCTGAGATCGCAGCAATATTTAGCGAGAAAATTCGGGTTTCATCAAATTTTTTCCTTGTGCCATTCATCTTCTCGCTCCTCCTACCTCTCTCCTTCCCCACTACCAGCCTTTTGAGAAATACTATAGAAATGCAAGTCAAATCTAAAATTTTACTAAAAAAACGTATCAGAAAATTTTTTTTTCAGCAAAAATGATCAAAATGTGGCCATCTGCTCAAAAAAAAAAAACTATGAAAAAAGCCAATGTGCAACAAATATTGAATGTTACTTCCAAAAAAGGTACTGAATGATACCACATCGACGTCTTCGTCATCATTATGGGCGAAAGCAGCAGCTGCTCGCGATGCCTTTCCTGCAGTGGCGCTGGGAAGTGGTCCAGTGATGAGATGTGCGTCGAATGGACCTCGAGACATCGTCAACAGAGGCCAGTTATCTTCCATCTGAAAGACCAAAAATTTACCATACAGTTATATTTCACATTTTTTCTCGTTTACATTCTGTTATATTAAACAAAAATGCACTGTTGACGCATTCTTTCTGTGTTTGTTCCTCGGAATTTGTTCCACGAAAATGCGAAGAACGTTCTTCCCAAACACGAAAAAAAAATTAAACCCAGTTTTCAGATTTCCCTCTACACTGACCTTTAACTATGGCAATAAGTTGAATTTAAAGAAAATTACGAACTTCGGAGTGGTCAGTTTTAGTTACCAGTGCAATACCGGATGAACAGCTCGCTTCGCCGACAAGATAAATACATACGAAATGCATACGAATGGTTTTTTTTTAAAGGATGATTTAATATTCGGCTCAGAAGATACTGAGTTCATCTACATTTTTCTACATAACTAGTACAGTACCCGTTTGATCGGTGGTGGAGGGATAAGCAAGCGAGCATTTGGCTCAACTGGAGGCAAGCTCTGCCCGCGTGCTAGTAGTTCCCCTTTGAGTTGTTCTGCTTCTTCATTAAATCCATGAGTTGCTGCTGTCAAATAAGCCAGTGATGTTTGACCAACTTCCTTCAACACTGAAACATTTATTTACTTGTGAGATTTATACCGGCAAGTAAAGAAATACCAGAATTAGTCATCGAATGATCAGAGTAATCACGAAAAGGGTGTTAGCCGAGTGAACGGTGTTAAGGGAGCTGCTAGAACGAAACCACAAATGATCAAAGTTATAAAGTATACTGTTCATTCTTTACAGTAATATAATGATGGCTCTACCCGTTGCATCTAGCCACCACAACATTCTCCTAAAATACTAGTGCCGAGTAACACACTTAGATATTTAAACCTAAACAGGATAAATGTCCCGTTATTTTGATCTCAGATAGACGAAAATCACCCCGGAGTTACGCCTCGAATGCCAGGGTGTGTCACTCTTCAGCCGGTAAAATCATGCGCACTAATTTTGGTGATTACCAAACGCCCTCACTATAATATCCATCTTCAATGCATCTTCACAATCAAGAAATGGAAATGCGAACAAAGCAGTTACCTTTGATACGTTCGCCAACATCGCCGAGGAGAAGTGCCGTCTGGTAATGCCCATTCACATCCTGTAATCACTCAGCTTACTGCACCTGGGTGATACTTCAGTTTTAGTGCCTTTTCATCAAAAAGAAGCCTCTCTTCCTCAAAAACATTTGTTTGAATTTGGTGTCTGTGAGCTAAATTTAGTTTTCCACGTCAACTAATCCCATAGTTTTAACTCAACTCTCAGCTTACGGCTAATCTGAACATCTTTTGGTTAAGTTTTTTTTCCCCCCATAGAACCCGTACTTTAGTGCGTCCCCTTTTAAGCGTATCCTGTATATGCTCACAAGTAAAATACAGTTGATATCTAAACACATGACGCTTGTTAATTTAAAACCTATGTAAAAGAGACGGCACATCTAATCGAACAGGCAACAAGTGTCTGAAGAAAAACAGCTCAAAAAAACAAAGGGCATGCAATTTCAATGTATGGTTTGTGAGGGCATCCCCCAGTACCATCACTGACATAAAATTTCCGGAAAGGCTGTCCTGATGATCTTGATATTCTTGGTATGCATGTAGGGCATATTTCGAAATTATTACTTTGCGGATTTGAGCAATTTTCATCATTTTCTGCAGCTTTTCCATATTGCCCGTGATTAGATAGAGAAATGAGAGCTTTTCGAAATCTTTCGTGCGCTGATACGACATTTCCACAATCTGAAAATTACTTTTAAACTAGCCGATTTCACAGTTTCTCGAGAAAAAGTAAAAAAGCATTGGTAGCGGTGTCGTAAAAAGAGGATCACCTGGTGATTGCCTTGCAAAAGAGCAGCTTCGCCAAGAGCGTGCCAGACTGCTTTATCATCCAACACCTTCGCTGCTTCCAGTGCAATCTCAAGAATTATAATAAAAATGACCACCAAGGGTTGCTAGCACTGTTTGTCTGAATGCCTACTGAAATGCCCACTTGCATTACAAAACAAATTTAACAGAGATGCTGTGATGATGAGCGATGTTGCTGGTTGTAATAATCGAAATACACGTTGTGGTTCAATGCTGCAACTATCTTATACAATTTTGATTTTCTTTTTATCACTAGGTACTGTCGACCTCACAGTTCAGCCCAATCGCATGGTACTGAGGAGCTTTTGGAAGAATGAACCAACATCACCTGCATGCCACAAACCTCTGCTAAATGGCAGATAGGCCACTTATTCGCCCACAGCTTTGCTGTGGTTACTTGAGACACCAAAAGTCAAGGCAGATTAGTGAGGGCTGAAAAGAATCAATCACTGCTCACTTCCAGATTGCCGCACTCAAGTGCCAAGCCGAATCGTGTCTTTTCGTCCTTCACAAAATGCAGCGCCACTTCCGGGTAGCCCTTTTTCTGCAGATACGCAATGATCGATTGCCCAACCAAATTTGCTGAACGCACCATATTTAGTACCTAAAAACCAATTATGCTCAAAAAATTATTTGCCCGCCAAATGCATTTACCGTGGAAGAAATAAAAGCAACGGATCTATCCAACTATCAGTTTCATCGTTGTCAAAATAGATGAAAGCACTGGGCATTTTACTTCCAAATTTTTGTTTCTGCTAAAACGCTTGATGACCAAACAAAAAAGTCCCGTCACTAAAGCTGCATTTCATCTGAAGGGCAAAAATGTTAAGAATTGTTGTTAATTAGCCCAGAATGCAAAAGGAGGGAAGAATGGCCCGCAGCAGCCGCCAAAATTATTCTTAAAAATTCAAGAACATGAATAGCCATAAACCTGATCTTCACCATGGACAGTGAAGCATATTAAGGGATCTTCTAATAACAAAAAATGGAAAGAGTCAAGAAGCGGACTTTCATATGCGATGCCGGATTCACCATTTACGACTGGCAGTATTTTTTATGCAAAAACTGGAAAGTATAAAAGCTGGTAGGATTTGTGCGTGTGCTACCGCTCCTACCTCATCATATCGACGATTTATAAGTGCTAATTTGAAGCGGTACTCCGTTGGATCAATGGGAACTTCGACTGGTGCTGCTTCCCTGAAATATTTGCTTGGAGGATTTCCGGAAATTTAAAAAAAAGTAGTATGAATTTGCTTTTTATTAGTTTTTTCCAGACCAATAACTTCGGAATCCATAATTTCAAAATTCATAATTTCAGGATACATTTTTATCACAGCTTAATCTTTTTATCTCCAGTTTTGTGATATGTTAATTTTATCTTCAGTTTTGTGATGTTAACATGTGATGAATGCAAGTGCCGCTGCCTCGCAGTATGAGTTCTCCGTCATAAATAGCATCATAAACAGAGAGGGTCACAAAAGAAGATTTTAAGGCAATACCTGTTGAGGCAATAGAGGCTTTCACCGCGCACCGCCAGCACATATACTGGCACATCCAGAGTTCTGATAATGCCATAATCACCAGCGGTTAACGCATATTTAATATGATTACTGGTCGTGTATAAGAAAACACCTCCTTCTTCCCACGCACCGCTTTTCACACGTGTCGATTCTTGCACAGAGCACAGGATCTACAGAACAATGAAAACTTCAAAAAAAAAATTTTCACTTCAACAAAGAATCACAAGAAAACATACGAATCACTGAACATAATTATTGATTAATTAATTGTACGAAAAACTTTGAGATGTAATGTCACTGCCAAACGCAAAGCGACTTATTGAAAGTCACTCGCGCAATTTTAAAAGAAAACAAACAGGCCGCTCATGCAGCAGAATGGACCACTGGAACTGCTACGTGGATGAGGAAAGCTCAAAATAAAGAAAAATGCAGAAGCTAAAAAAGAAACCAGCTGCACCAATGGCAAAATTTTAGTGGAATGTTCCCTGCCCAAATACAATTTAAATATTTCAAACCCAGCCCTCAGGTCTGCGTGGTTCTCACGTATGAGCAAGTGCAAGATTTGGCGGGAAAACTGCTAACTTGGTAACCAGAAAAGCTGGGAGGCTGAAAGTTTAGGGGAATGTTCCCTGCCTAAATACAAATTAAATATTTCAAATTTAATTTTCAGGTATGCGTGGTTCTCACGTATGGGCACTTGAAAGTATGGGCGAAAAATTTGCTCGCCGAACGGCTCGGTCATTTTCAAAAAAAGATCGTTAAATGGAAATCGTACACTTACTTTATGCAAAATTTATAGTGATTTACACTAGTGGGCACAAAAGGTAGGTGTAAAGCAACAACCATTCATGCAGTTAATGATCTGAGCACTTCAAGTCCGGTGCAAAAACGCATGATCACACTGGCAAGTCCGATGCGTTCCAGTCCGGGTTTTAAATGCATAAAAAAGCGGACAATATACTTTGCAAATGCGAGATTTGTATCCGCAGGCATGGACATCGAAGAATCCAGTAGCAGCAATTAATGCGATTATAAAATATGCTTTCGCGTCATCAAAGTTTCAATCAACAAGATTACCCGCTAGCAAAGCCTTAAGATTATCTCGAGAAATGCTTGAATGCTAAGTTAGAAAAGTGGCTTTATACAAAATAAATTCCATGCATTGCTGCAAAAATTCGATCAGCAACAAACCTGAAGTTTTCGCGTCACTAGTGTTAAGGTGTGCTTGCTTAACAGAGCTGCGTACTCCAAATTCTTTGACCAAATTACATATTTCACCTGAAAGAACAGCAGAACAAATACAGTATGTGTAGTATTCGTGAAAGACAGCAATTCTAAATCTGAACAAAAGAGTACTAGCTAAGCTAATAAGCTGTAGTGAAGAACAAGAGGGTTGTCAAATTTAATTAGTAACTAACTGGGAAATATGGCAGTGAAGGAGAGCTTGGGTCTATGATTAGCAAAAAAGACAAAGCAAAGAACTTACTTTCGAAACTTTGGCCGATGCAAGAATGCGTTTCTGTTGGATGTCGAGAAGTTGCACGCTTTCATTGTTTTTGAGCAACAAAAGTCCCGTGCCAGCGTAGAAAATGTCATCAATCGGGATGTTCTGTTCAATCTTTCGATTTTCACGGTTCGACAAATCTCTTATAGTAATCTGGAATTGTCAATCGTACTCATTTATACAGAAAAGTCTCCAACTGCCTTTTTAAATAATGTAGAGGATCCCCGTTTTTGTACCTGCAAAGAATACATGAAAGTTTTGTTCTAGAACGATTAATTTACTTCGGTTTCTTTCAGTCCTAAAAAGAAAATTAGCATGTTTACACACAAAACCTCTTTAAAAAAATTTAGTTGTGGCAGTACATCTCCAACAATCGTAGCCACTCCTGCTTCGAGAGCATTCTGACCAGAAGACAGTGCTTCAGAACAGCGAAAAGCGCAGGCTCCACGTTACGGCATTTAAACTTTTTTTCAAAACACTGTCCATTTTCCCTCGCTCCCCAATCGCTATCACGGAAAGAACACAGCTAAGAAACTGCGTACTTTAATCACTGGGACGCGCACTAGGCTGGCCGGTGCGACTATGCGTTTTTGTACTACTTCGTGCTATAGCAAGATCGCTTGGAATTCCAACAGCTAGAAAATGTGCAGCTGTGTGGTGTGTCAGTTGCCAATCTCGGCTTCAATGAACTGACCAACAGAAAGTTACTGGTGTGCGAAAAAGACCATACAAGAAGAGCTGAATTTGAAATCTTTTAATTGCACATAAGTAGGAGACATTTCCACAAAATTCCAGCTTCTCAGCTTTCCTCGTTTCCGAGTTAGCAACCAGAACTCTCACTTGTTCACAGGTGAGACTCGAACGATTCTAATTAGCTGAATATGAAATCTTTTAATCGTACAAGAGTATGGAACATTCCATTAAAATTCCATCCTTCCAGCTCTTCTAGGCCCCATATTAGCTATTTTTCTGCCAAAACTTTCACGTCCTGAGCGAATCTAAGGAGCTGAATTTAAAATCTTTTGATCGTACATGAATAAACAGCATTCTTTCACCATTCTAACTTTCTAGTTTTTCTCGTTTCCGATTTAGCGTTCTTCCTGCCAAAATTTTCACGCGCCCGTACTTGAGGCCTAGATGTGTGTGATAGTTGATATTACGTTCCTGAGACCACACTTTGCCAGGGAACACACTGACAAAATTTCAGCACCAAAGCTTGCGTGGTTGCTGGGCAAAAAAACCCGGACAGACGAACACACACGCACGCACACACATACGCACGCACACACACACGCACACACATATGTACACACACAAACATATGCATACACATACAAACAGGGTCGGTTGCTTGTTGTAGCGCTCTAGCGCTGCATGGCAAAAACGCATAAAAATTGTATTCTGTCTACTGGGACTTTGCCAACCGTTCTTGTTTTCTACGCACAAAATGAAACCTGTTGATTTTTATCCAATACAGCAAAACGATTGCGTGCAACCCAAACAGCAGCAACGCCTGGTGAACGTTTCCCTTCCGGAGCTTCACCTCCACCACTCACCGTCTCTTTCGGCACCTGTAACAATCTCACTTCAAGAATACGTAGCAAAGTTAAATTAAATTTTTAATGCTATAAACTTTACACACATCCTACAGTTTCCCAAGGATGCGAAATATTTTGACCATTCAGAGAAAGCAACAAGGATACGCATTTTCGGCCTTAAAAATACGAAAAATTTTGGCAAAATATGACGTTTGAAATATGAAAACCGCTTTTTTGTTCTTTTCGAGCAAAAAAAGACAATAACCTCTTCCCTCCTTCGCTGTTTAAAATAGTACTAACACAAAGTGTTCTGATAAAAACGAAACTATTTTTTAAATATCATCCATGCTGTTTCATAAAATGCTATATTTCTTATAATTCTGATAAATTCCTGTTCAACAAAGAAATAATTGCTCTGTTCGACAAATAAGGAAATCTTTTCTTCGTGAAAGAATTTAGAGTGCAAAAGTATCATCACTCTGCTTGTAAAGGACTAACCAGCAATTTTCAGTCAGGTTATAGAATGTTTTAGAGATCAGTGAATGAATGTGGTTTCAGCTAATTTAGAACTAGTATTTTTATCAACAATTATATGCGATTCCGTACCTTGTACATATCACAAGTGCTGTGTTCCGGCAACGCCGTTCGAGTGATCAACAGGAATGCATTTTCTGCGGGATTGTAGTGCAATGAATAATAGGGCTGAGTAAGCTTTGTGCCACGAAGTTGAACTAACGCCACATCTTTGCTGAAACAGCTTCATTTGTAACAAGCTGCATCATAAATTCAATCATTACGCATTTTCGCTTACACGCAAATGCAAAAACACATATTATGGCCCCTGCATGCGAGTGTATCTATGTTCATGCATGTGTATGTATATGTATACGTTTGTGTGCATGTTCGTCTGTCCGGGGATTTCAACTCGACAACCAAGCAAGCTCCAGCACCAAAATTTTGCCAGTGGATTCCCCGGCCAAGTGGCACCTCAAAACCGTGATACCAGCTTTCACGTAAGTCTTGGCTCCGCGCACGAGCAAGCGAAAGTTTTGACGAGAAAATCGCTAACTCGAGAACCAAAAAAGCTGAAAGGCTGAAGCCTTAAGAAAGGGATGTTCCCAGCTCATGTACAACTTAAAGATTTCAAATTCAGCGCTTAAGCGCGCGTGGTTCTCACGTACGGCCCTGTGAAACTTTTTGGCGAAAAAAGCTGCTAACTCGGGAACCAAAAAGGCTGGGAGGCTGAATTTTTAATCAAGTGTTCCCTGTCTAAGCACTACGTAGTTGCACAATTAACTTTTCGAACACCAAGGACTAGTATTTCATAAATTCTAGCTAATTGGGGTCCAAGAGGTCTTACTACAACATGAAATACTGCAAAAACGCATGATTGTACGGGCGTGCCCAGTGCGCGTTGCCAGTGACTTTACTTTTTGATAAAACATTTTTCCACAAACGCAGTCTTCCAGCAAGAGCAATACTGCTGATATTTTTTTCTTAAAGAACCAACAGTGATGTAACCCAAGGATGAATTACAAAACCGCGGATGAAAAGTAAAAACTGATTCGTGAGGCTTTCCAGCAAAACCAAAGGATCACTTAAGTGGATAAAGTCACAAAGTCGAAGAACGAGTAGTTTTTATACTAAACTAACACAACAATGAATTTTATCCTTATTTTTTCCTCGCCTGACCATTTCTTTCTTAAAAAAACATGGCGTTATTTTTAACTGCTTGGGCTGGGCGTATTGAACCTTCGCTTCACAGAAAAAAAAAACGAACTTAGTTGTTAAATCAAGACGCCTCAGTTGACGATCCTTTACATAGAACACCAAATTTTCGTGCACACAAAATGCCGGCCGTTCACGCTCAATCTTGAAAACCATCATTCCATTATCGTGACCGGCAGCAAACAAATTCAATGTTGGATGCGCAGCCAGCACCCAGAAACGATCATTATCATGCCTGCAGAAAAAAACACTTTTCATCATCAAAGAAAAAGAAGTACAGAAAGCGCTGCTCTCATGTTGAAAGTCGATGGTGTAAATGGTTTCTTTACGATTTGCCCAGTCGATTCGACTTGTAAATCGGTTCAGATGCTTGTAAGCAGCCTTCGAAGGAAGGCCCATGGATAGTTTTGTCAGAAAATGGTTACTGCTGGCACATGCTGCTACTCAAATCAATTCCGACTGACTTCATGTCTCAAAGACAACGAATATGAAGAGTTTTAACTTTTGAATTGAAGCACAGAATAAAGGCAAGCCAAAGATAGTACAGAAAGAATGGCACTGGAAGGGCTGAAACCCTGTGTTACTTAATATCAATGCAGTTTCACGGTCCTCTCTGGCAGCTTTTTCATCCGTCCGTACAGGCAGTTACTCCTCATCCTATACATGCATTTTGGTGTACTGTTAGAAATTACCTGTAGGTGTGAAGGCATGTCCTCTTTTGCATATCCCAAACTCGAATACTTTTGTCTTCAGAATTACTTAAAATCAGCTCCGCTTTCGGATGAAACAACACCGATGATACATTGTTGTAATGTCCACGGCACGAATCAACCTTGAATTTACAGTTTTCAAGTCAGCAACGGCCAAAAAACGATTCGTATTCCTACAGACAACTATTCAAACGATCACTCATTGTAAATCGTGAAGCCGCACTACAAATTTATCAATAAATGAATCAATAAATAAGATAATTACAAGTCTGATAAGCTTTATTCAGGCCAACTGCAGAAAAAAAAAAATGATTTTAGGGCAAAAGTGGCTTAGAGATGGCAACGTTCGAGACGAGGTGGCATGCTCGAAACAAACCAAGCTCATCTCAATGGCTAAGGCCTTGTCAAGTGCATTTGTCGGGAAAATCGTCCAATCAGAAAAACCTACACGAGACAAAAGAGGCCGCAAAATCGTCATCAAGCTGACAGTCAAGTGATGCAGTGCTGATTAAAATAACTGAATGGGTGAGGAATTAGACTATGAAGTATAGCTGCTCTGAACACTCCAGGTAAGTGATATCAAATTCCTATTTTTTGCTGAAGCAGGAAAGCCAAATAAGCAAGAGCAACATTGCAGTAACTAACAAAACAAGGGCTATTTCCGGAAGGAAGAAAATAAAACAGAGAAACGATATTCACGATCAAAAAAAAAAAAAAAAAAATCTGAGCCATACAATCACAGAATCTCAATCCCCTCTGCTTGGTAGTTTTTATGCGTTTTTTGCAGCAATGCAATGCGAAAAACGCATATTGACGAGAGGTTGTCTG